TTTTGACATTTATCTTGTGTTTGAATCTATTTTTGAAGAGAATAGAAATTTTGGAATAGTGAATGATGTGCGAATGTGTGGTGAAAAAGTGATGAAATATTTTTAATTTATGTGTAATATTATTTTATTTGGAGAATGTGTGATTGAAATTAAGAATAAGAATGAGAAATTAATGAGTGTCAAACTGGGGATTAATATGGTGTTAAAAGATAATCTATTTGAACCGAATTAAAATCTGATTTCAATCCAAATCAAAGTCAAACAATCAATATTAACCACATCTAAATGAGTCCAACATCTTTTCAACTATACATTTCAAAAACTTCTATCGCAATTCACTAAAAATCTAATTTTAACCTCCATCAAACACCTTTATAAGTTACTTATAGAGCATGTTTGACAATCATTATTGTAGAAAAAAAGTTTTGAATAACGATTTATAAGAGGATATGTGGTTAAAAAGTAGAAATATATATTTGGTATATCTATAGAATGTTTTATCGTATGAATGTGTAATTGAAAATAATCATTTACCAAATCATAAAATAAATAAACGGGGGGTCAAACATGCACCAACTACATAGCAAACTAGTCGTTACTCGAAGAAACTAACTGCTTCTGCCTACTGCCATGGCCACCAAATCAATCCTCCTCTGCCCTCACTCTCTTCCCATCACCTTCTTCCCTCCTCGTTGCCCATTCCCCAAATCCTTCCTCTCCACTACCACCTTGGCGGCGGTCGGAAACCTTTCCTTTTCAACCCACCCTTATGGACCCTCCCTCCATAAAGGTCACTCCCCCTCAAATTGCCGAACATGCCTTCCTTCGAAGACCCCACCACTAACAACAATTAAGGATGTCATTGTGGCTCACAGGTTTGGACAACTCGAGAAAAGCCCAAGCCGAATTGGCTCGTGGCTCAGGCCAAGACTCATTTTGGGGGTGTCGGCTTAAGCTCGAGCCAGCCCGTGTTACGAGTCGAGCCAACTTTTAGAAAAAAAAAAAAAGGTTAAAAATAAAAATAAAAAAAATAATAATAATAAGAATTAATTTTGAATTTTAGTCATGTACGTGGCACCAGCAACCGCCGAACGCATGCGTAGCAATAGGTGCCTATAAATATCTCCAAGGTGAGAAAGGTTTTTTTTCTGGAAACCCGAACTATTTGATTCTACTATAATCTCTTTCTATTCTCTAAGACCGAACACTAATTCTCACGCCGGAGGTACACATAGGAGAAAGTCTCGACTTCATTTTGTAGGTAGCAAACACTGATCGGAGTAGCCGGAACACCATTCACGTCAGGGAGAGTGGGAGACCATCGAAATTTACCTCACAAAAATTTCACCAAGCATGGAACCATTTATCATATTGTACGCGTATGATACTCTTCATTTTTGGTTGGGGTGGCTATATTGCCATCACATTTTTATTATATACTACATTTTAATTACAGATAAGATTCTTAATCTTTATTAATTATAGTAATTATTACTGAACTTTTTTTTAGTGAAATTCTTATCTTCAACTTTTCATCAACTAATACGTCTTGTCCTTGATGATGATTTATATCAAAGAGCCTGTTTCAGCTCCATTAAAAGGTATAAATGCATTTTGAAATAATATATTGATGAGAATGGGAAGTTAAAAAATAAGAATTTTTTTTGGATTTGCATGTAATATTATTTTATTAAATAATTTGTGGTTGAAAAGAAAAGATAAAAATGCATTTTGAAAAAAATGGGNGTATTTTGAAGAAAATTGGGATCAAACAAGGTCCTAGTATTTTAACTTAAAAAATAGATTGTTTGAAGGGAAGGTAAAATGGTGGACATTTTTACTTCGACTATTTCAAGAAGAATAATAATTTGAAAAATTCCCTAAAAACAATTATACCCAAAGAGTATTGCACAAATTATTATTATTATTATTATTATTATTATTATTATTATTATTATTATTATTATTATTATTATTATTATTATTATTACATTTCTTTATTCCATTTCTTACCCTCACTACTTAGTTTAAAAATAAGTAATATTTCTACATGTCAAAGTTAAAAATCAATACGGTGCTTGAAAGTAGCTTTACTGCAAGAATAAGTAAAACCATTTACTTGTATCATAACAAAAAGTAACATATTCAGAATTTAAAAATTATTTAAAAGTAATTTAAGTAATTCTAATTTTAGTCAAACATGTTACTCCACATCCGTCTTTTACATTCTCATTATCTTGCGTCTCTCTCTTCTATGTGTAACCATTTTATCTTTTTAATAATTGCACTTAAACACCACTATTTTATTGTATCAAAATTTTACTTCTATCGAGGAATTTTAAGCTATTCTTGCATTTTGTGTTTTACCAATAGCTTAATTATGAATCTTTTGGACAAAATTTGATTTAGGGTGTGTTTGAGCCACATTATTTTGAAAGAGTATATTTTGAAATAATATGTTAATAGAAAATATGTGATTAAAAAAGAAGAAAAAATTATTGATGTGATGGAAACTATTATCTTATTGAAGAATGTGTGGTTAAAAATGAGTAAAAGAATGAGAATGAAAATTTTAATGTGACTCAAACATGGGCTTATTGGTTACAAAAATGTGGTGGCGATACTAAGAATTGGAAATAAGAGTAAAAAATTATAAATTTTACTCATTACAACGTGGTCAAAACATTCCTCTCTATAAAGAATAAGTTTGAATTGAGTACCAAAATTCGACGTAGTGTAAAATATTGATAATGGTAAATTGGCTTCGGCTTCGATTTGATACTGAATATAATCAAATCGAACCATGAATTAATGATTATCTTACCATCAAACTTTTGATTCCAATTGTTTTGTAATTATGGAACCGAAAATGAAAAATTCCGATTTAATTTGGTTTGGTTTCATAGCAAAAAATTTCAAATTGTTCATGTTAGGTCCCTTTTTTTTCAAAAACTCATTTTCAACTACACATTTTCCTATATAATAATTTTATATGTAAACCTAAACTTTCCTTATTTTTTAATAATACATTCTCCAACAAAACACTATTCCAACATGCATTTTGCCCAAAAAAGGTTCTCAAACAATATGTAAAACATTTTATTACAAAATGTTAATACTCATATCTAAAAGCAAAATAACAAGTCTCATTCGATGTAAACAACAAATCGATCTTCATGCCGAAAATTCCTAATAAAAACCATTCACTAAATTAATAAGTAAATACAATTAACAATAAAACTTTGAACAAAAATCATTTAAAATTCAAGTAGAATCGAACGACTGGTTCTAATTCAGTTCAGTTGGTTCTGGTTAATTTGCAAAAAAAAAAAGGTTAATAATAATAATAATAATAATAATAATAATTAATTTTGAATTTTAGTCATGAAAAAAATAAAAAAAAAAAAGAGTCGAGTTGGGTCCGGCTCAGCTCGGCCTAATTTTTTTGCCCGAGCAAAAGCTTAGCTCGGTTCGGACAAAAAAACACTTGAACCATTTTTACACGAGTCGAATCCGAGTTTCGAATTTTGGCTCGTGCCTTCACTCGGGTCTTCGACATTTATGTGTTCCGTGTCCCATCTGACCTCCGCTTCAGTCTTGACAACTCCCCTCATCAACTGGCCTCGAATTAAGACCATCGCCAGAGTGCCTGGCGATGAAATTGATGAACAATGGAAAACCCTCTTGCCTAAGTACGATGTTGGTGATACCCTAGTAACATTGAGTAGGATAATTTATAGGAAATCGGAGGGGGACGGGAAGTTGCTCAACCCAGTTCTATTCCAGGATAAGCTCGCCAGGACGTCTAATTCAAGAGGGTGTGAGAAGTTTAGGAACTTGGCAAAAATTTCTAGGCCGAAAAAGAAGAGAAAAAAGCTTGAAGTGGATAGTGATAATAGTGATAAGAGGGAGAAAAGAGGGGTTGGCAGGAATGAGATGGGACTGCTGGAGGTGGTTACAGAGGAAGAGGACAGTGGAGGGGATGATTTAAGTAGTTTGTTAGGGGAGGAATTTAAGGGGAAAAATGGAACGCCTGAACAGGTTGCTACTTTTGGACGAGAGGTACGCGAATGAAGGGACTAGGGAATTGCCTGAGAGTATCAAGGTTTTTGCTTTGCAACACTTTGATCTTTGTGAGTTGCTTTTCCTGTGACGTTTTTGTATTGATAAGTGCGAACATGTTTTTTTTTTGGTTGTTTTAATTGCTATTGTTGTTAGTGAACATTTTATGGTGATTATCTTATTAGATAATGCTCGTTATTTATTTTTCTTTGTTTATGAAGGTGGTCTGTACCATTAAATTGCCAGAAATTTTGATACAGGATACTACTGAACTATTAGACATGAAAATTAGAATGTTTGGCATTGGGCAAAATAAAGATATTTATGGATTATGGATTTGTTGACATTTGACTGCTTACGTTCATCCATCAATTGAATGAGACTTTTGCAGCTGGACATTTTAGAGTTCTATTGCTGTTGCGTTGTTCTCTATCTTTCCAAATGAGAAGTTCTTTTTTTTTTTTTTTTATATAACCGTGGATGTCTGGGCAACTTGCGCGCATCACGCCAATTTCACGGGCCCTGAGGGGACTCGAACGGTGACCTTTGAGGAGCAAATCCAATGTCTGACCAATTGAGCAACCCATCAAGGTTCCAAATGAGAAGTTGTGTTATTGCATATTTGGAAATATGCAAGTTGACTTTTTTTTTTTATAATTACTGGCAACAGAATGAGATATTTTATTTAAGAACTATCACTTGCATGAATCATGATGCACTCTTTTTCTTGCTAGCTTCTTGTTTCTCCATGAATGTAATATTTTGATTCATGCTCCTTTCTTCTGTCTGTTCTACTCATATGTTTATGCACGATCTTTGTGCACTTGGAATCTGCTCAGTTTTATAAAGACTTGGATGACGTGAGGCTCTGTGCATTTAATGTACTCTTCATTTAGGTGATGGGCACGGGTATGTTTCCAAGGTTAAACTTTATCAAACCTCTCAAACTCTGGATGTGTAGACATGGAAAAATTTCAATACTCATTTCATCCCATGCTTATATATTATACACTTACTGTTTTGGATTTTCTCACAGAGAATGTCACTCGCCAAAAATGGAAGGACATTTCATCTGGGTATGAACCCTTTTTGTTGCAAAGCCTCGAGAGGACCTTAAGTTACTGAATTCTTTTCTTCTCAATACTTGAAGTTGGCACCCATATGGTTGGCAAGGTTTCTCTTCATTGGAGCGATCTTCATAAATTTGGTGAGGTTCATGGTCATGATTTCATCCAGGTTCAGTTCATAATTTTTCAAAGAAATCCATACCTTGCTGGAGTAAAAGTATTCTGTATGACTGCATTCCCTATCTGGCCCACAGGTCTAGGGTCTAATAGGATCCTACATATTTTTGGACTTTGTTTCTCTCCTTTTCATTCAGGGGCAGTAGCACAAATTAAGAAAAAGGGATTTCCCTGTATTAGAGGGTGGCTTTCAGTATTAGAAATAATGGTTTTCTTAGATTTGTATCAAGATGTAGTGTGACAGTCTGCAGATAATCCAGGAAAGATGGTATATTTCCGAACTTCTGTTCTTCAAAACATGTCCAACGTAATATACAGCACTCTGTTGACAATGGGCATTTATTTAAAATAGTCTCATAACTTATGAACCATCTTTGATGTCGTTTTGGAATTTATTACCAAGCCCCTCTCCAAGTGTCAAGTTTGTGATACGAATATTTCTTGCATTTATGAGGGTCTAAGTGACAAATAATTTGTTTGTATTTCAGTGTTTTAATTGGCAAGATAAGCCGAAGTCTTATAGTTTCTATCATTTGTATTTTCTTTTGAATGATTGCATATTGCCATGACCATAAGAAAATTGCTCCGTAGAACTTTTTCCCTTATTTTTATTCACTTCAGTTTGTAAGATAAAATACAAGAAGTGAAACTCATTGTCTCCCTGCTGATATGTGCTGTGGGCAGAAGCTAGGTACAGTGAATTATTAAAATGTCTTCAGATTAGTAGTTTCTCTTGAGCTTGTATAATATGGCGATCATGTATTTGTTACAGTTTTTGGAGGTTTTGCTTGCAAAAAGGTATGATTATTCCTTCAGCTTTCGTAACTGTTGGGCATATTGCACATCTAAACCTGAGAGATAAACATCTTCCATATAAAAATCTTATTCTGAAGGTACTTCTCCTGTTTGTACAAATAGCATTCAATTTCAGCGAGTAGTTTGGACACTGCTTTTGAATATTAGGAGGGATCATGAGGACCTCTGGTTTATGAGTGCAGTGAATTCTAGAAGAGTTTTAATTGCTGCAGAAACCTTAATCCTTGAGAAGAAAAACCCAAACTTCAACATGTAAGTGGAATATTAGGGTTACTGGATGGAAATTATGGTAAGTTGAATTTTCTGGATACACGAAACCTGTCATCAACTGTAGTAATCACTCTCAAGGAGGTACCTATCTTATAACACTAGTTCTTAGGTTTTTTAGTCGCCTTGGGATTCCATTTCCTTCATTCGCTGCCTGCAAACGTTATCTTAATTCTTCTATTGATACTTCATTAGCAACACGTTATACGCCTTTTCTGCTATTATATGTTCCTTTTTTTTTTATTTCTCCCGGTTTGATAAATCTTACCAGTGAATTGATCCAACTACAATATTTATTCTTGCTTCAAATTCGATGAAGTTCTATTTCGTTTCCCAATGGCTGCAGATGTATTCAAGGGAATATTCTAAAGAAACCACACAGATAAACAAAGAACCTTGCCTAGGATTTATGTTTATGGGTTCTCTAAAGCTCGGGATCCAGAATTCGACTTTCACGAGGTATTGTTCTTTTTCTGCTATCAGATTAATTGAATCGTTCTTTCCAGATGGCTCTTTTCATGCATCAGTCAATAATATTCATATTTTTTTTCTTTTTAATGCTATTTCATAAACAGCAAATTAGAATTGCACTGCCAGAGGTTGCTTTTGAGGTACAGATGCGCATGGTTTGGATTGTAGCTCCTGGAAGATGGAAGTTGTGTGCAACGTTTATCCTACATGAGAGAGTGGCTTATGCAAAAGTAGGTTCAATCTTGTAAATTAGGAGCACCAACATTGTATATAACTTTCATTTATTACTCAAATTATGCTCTCTTTATTTGCCTCTTCAACATGTCTGTCGAACAAATACGCACATTATCATCCTCAAGGTGAATGAATACTTGCACAATTTTGAAATAGTGATTTTTTGAAAAATGTGTGATTAAAAATAGGGGAAAGTTTTGGGTTTATGTACAAAATTATTTTATGAGAAAATATGTAGTTAGAAATAAGTTCTGGAAAAAAAAAATGGAGCTCAAATAGGGACTTCCTTACATGACAAGTCCCAACTATACCATTAAGTTGAACCAACATATCATTTACAATGTTACCCTCTATCTTCATGTACTCATTTTTAAATAGGATAACGTTACTTGTATATAAGCTGCTACATAATGATTTACATATAAATGGAGTATCAAAAAGAGTGTGGAGAAGTTTTTTTTCCCCTTTTTTTAGTTGAAGATATTCTGACTCAATCACATTTCATCACATCATGTGTATGTAACCCTTTCAAGTTCAAGTAATATACTAGGATAATGTCAAACCCCTTCAAGTTCAGGTGAGAAGGCTTAAAAAATCCCTACTCTTCTTGACTCGGCTTTACAAAATAAAATAATACCGTATTGTGGTCATGAAAGTAAAAAAAACTAGACTTTGTAATATTATAATTAGGCCCTGTCTGGTATCAATTAAATTGGCCAAAATAATTCATTTTCAGAACGTTGCATATCACTTCAGCAGCAACAGTTGCCCGGCCATCTCACATGCGGGCCCCACTAATGGTCGGCTTTTAGATTAAAATTCTGCCAAAATCAGCCACAGACACCCTCTTAATCTAAAAACTTGCGAGAACAATTAGTCATATAAAGAATTATTCGCTTGATTTGCATGATGTCAAGATCATTATTACAGTGAAGCAAAGAACGTTTAAGATACTTAGGGCCGGTTTGATTTCCTATGTTTTCCATGGAAATTGGAAAACAATTTTCATTCCATGAATTTTGTTGTTTGATGGCAAAGTTTTGTAATGGAAAATATTTTCCATTTATGCCTCACATGTGCACCAATGGCTTGATGTGGTGGAATTCATTTCCCACCAGTTAGTTTTTTTTTTAACAGTTGGAACAAATTTTATAATCAATTGTAAAAAAAATTTCATTTTAATGGACAATTTTCATGTAAAATAAAGTCAAACGAACACTAAATTTTGATGAAAAAATGATTTTCTTGAAAATATTTTTTTTTATTTTTATTTTTTGGCAATGGAAACAAATTTTATAACCAATGGTAGAAAAAATTATCACTTTGATGGACAATTTTCATAAAAATGAAGCCAAACGGACACCAAACTTTCAGATGAAAAATTATACCAATCAAACACAATTAATTACAATTTTCAGTAAAATAATTTTTAAACAATTCAATATCCTGAAATTCATTTTCTTTCCTCTCATTTTTCACATTCGCAATCAAATGGACCCTTAGATAGTTATGAAATTGTATGATCAAATTGAAATCACGTTTTGACGTTAACAAAATTTGTGCGATCCTAATAGTTGCGATTCCTTTTTTTTTTTTTTTATTTTTTGGTGGTTCTAAAAATGGTAACACTATCACGTTCTATATTCGATGCTTGTGGGATAAGTTAGGCTAACTACAAAAATTCGGAGCATATTCGCAAAAGGACGCTCTTTCTTATATCAAAATCCATCTTTTCTCTTTACCTTCCAGAACAACAGTCAGCATTGACGCAGTGGTCAACGTAATCACAAAACCCTAACCCTAAACCTTCCAAAATGCAACACCCTTCGCCGGACTCCGACATGCCACCACTCGCCTCCATCAAGGTCCGTTCATCCTCGCCGCGCTTCCCTCCCCCCATCACTCCTTTATCCACTGAAACCCCAACGGCAAATGCCCAGCGGAAGATCGGCATAGCCGTTGATCTTAGTGATGAGTCTGCTTTTGCTGTTAAGTGGGCTGTACATAACTATCTCCGTCCTGGAGATGCTGTTGTGCTCGTCCATGTTCGGCCCACTTCGGTTCTTTACGGGGCGGATTGGGGGTCTGTTGATTTATCCATTGTTGATACTGAAAATGAGGAGTCCCAGCGGAAGCTTGAAGATGATTTTGATACTTTTACTACTACCAAGGCCTCTGATCTTGCACAACCGCTCGTGGAGGCTCAAATTCCGTTCAAAATCCATATTGTGAAAGATCATGACATGAGAGAGAGGCTATGCTTGGAAGTTGAGAGGCTTGGGCTAAGTACAGTGATTATGGGGAGTCGTGGATTTGGCGCCACCAAGAGAGGGGGCGATGGGAGGCTTGGCAGTGTTAGCGATTACTGCGTGAGGCATTGTGTATGCCCGGTTGTTGTGGTTAGATATCCCGATGAGAAGGACGGTGCTGGTGGTGGAGAGCCAGTGGTGTCTGTGGCTTCCGTGGCCGAGGAGGATGGCGAGGAGCAAGAATATCATGATGCCCCTGATGATCGCAAAGGTCAGTATTTTTATTTTTCAATTGATTCGGATTTTTCTAATTTCCTTGTATTCTTCAAACAGTTGCTCCCATTATGTTTAATGTAGTGTACCTGTATGTGGATATAAACAAAATGAAATCTTTGGTAGATTAAATTGTTAGGATTTATAAAGCATAAGCAGAGCCTTATGAAGATTTAATACCTAATAGATGAAGGATAAATGGTATTTTTATGTTTCATTTAGAAACTGGCATTAAAGCTGGCCTGCTTAATTCGGATATCTATAAGTAACAGTGAGTTGACAAATCTTTTTTAGGATTTTGATTTTATTGTCATCCCGGGGTAAAACGAGGTCCTTTTAGAACGTTCTAAATTTATTTCCCTCTTGCAAAATCTGAATGAAGAATTTTGCCAGATGTTTGTTGTGAATTTTTTCCATTCACTGGACCCATATGGATAGCCGGTGAGTTAAAATCTTGTAACATCTCTAATTTTCCTGCTTTTGTGAGGATCTAAGGCATTCATGTAGAATATAGAGTAGATCAATGTCAATTGGAGTTCACTTTTTCCAAGTTTTAGTCCTGAGTTTTATTTAGATAAATTTGTCAAGATGTTTTATACAATTTCGAAACAACAAAATTGTTATTGGAATCAAACTTGTTTCTTTGTGAATTCCATTTTCTGAATGCTCATTATACAACAACATGTCACTGTAACAACCTCTAAATTTGCATTTTTAACTCTTTTCTTCTCCTTTGGTAATATGGATGACGTCTGAGAAGCTTATACATTCTCTAGACTAGTTTTGTTCAACCTTTAAACGAAGGAGAGAATCCCAGAATGAATCTGATGATCCAGCTTTTAGCTTAAATTGGTTAATTACCTGGTGTCAGTCCAACTAGTTTTGTCTTCAATTAAAAAGATTAAATGAGGAAAGGCTTCAACCACACTGTCATTGAAAGAGTAAAGTTACAAGATAAAATGTTGAGTAAATTGGCTACTTTAATATATTTTGAAATGTAACGGTATTCAATCTTAAACCGAGAGTAATAGATTCTATAATTTGATGCTTAGATAAAAAAAAATGGAAAATATACTTTCAGTATTATAAATGTGATGGATGCTTTTACTAATTATATATTATCTCCCTTCATTTTCTTTTTAGACTATCCACAAATAATGCTTTCTATCTAAAATAGATACAATTGACTTGTACAGATTCTTGGTTAAGAGGTTTAAGTGTTGTCCTTAGAAAGAAAGAGTTATAACTGATGGAAACTTCATCTAAAACTTGAGGGTCATGAAATAACAATAGCAAACTAAACCTTCTCTCCATTAAATTTGAGGTTGGCGGCATGGATATTTGTTCGCCGCTTCAGCGAATTGTCGCATTATGTATGTAAATATTTTAAATTATTTTCAACTGCATCATGTCATGTTAAGATGAGTTGCTTTAGGTCTGTAAAACATGGTTCGGCGAATAATCGCATTATATATGTAAATATTATAAATTATTTTCAACTGCACCATGTTATATTAAGATGAGTTGCTTTAGGTCTATGTAAAACATGCTCCAACCACCCAATTCGTCATTCCCTTAATTTATTGTCAATTCGTGTCACGTCCATTATGTTGCAAAAATTAACGTTCCTGAATTTTATGGTTCTCTTGTTCTATATTAATTATTAACAGATATAAGAGGCCAAGATATAACAAAAATTTTGGATTGATAGATTTGTGTTGAATCATAGAACTGGAAGTTAGGTGCATTTCTCCTCTCTTCAAGTTTTCCACTCGCAAGAATGTATGGTGGAATGGGAACTGTAATACCCTTCTTTAGATGTCATCTGAATGAACCGTAGCACCCTCCATATAATGATCATTATTATTGTCGTACTATTTTCAGTGAGTGGGTGTCCTTACTTGAGTAGCTTGTTCAAACTCCTGGAAGGCAGACCAAAAATAGGCACTAGCATTATCTCTTTTTTATTTTTATTTTTTTCATGTAAAGAAAATTAACTGTAATATTATTTAATTTTCTCCTTATTTTTGGGTGGGGTGGGATGTGATGGGTAGAGGAATTTGAGGCAGAAACTGTCTCTGCTAACTGTATACATCCTCTCCTGTTGATTAGCATGTTTCTTGACTGTCGGAGAAAATTATAAATGAATACACATACTTGACTCTTCTTTTCTATTGATGATGTTGTTTTCAAGGAAAATGTAATTCTATAGTCTCCAACATTAATTTGTTGTGTGCAAATAGTAATGCCTTACTTCCTTCATATCTTTCTATCCTCATCTTCTATATGAGTTTGTGTATGTGCATGTAAACACACATGCATGCACGTACCTATGTGCACAAACATTTTGGCTTGTTTATACTTTATAGTGCAGATTGTTGGCGTCTTTAAAATCTTCCCTTGTGCTTTGAA